GAAAGAAAGAAAGAAAGAAAGAAAGAAAGAAAGAAAGAAAGAAAGAAAGAAAGAAAGAAAGAAAGAAAGAAAGAAAGAAAGAAAGAAAGAATTTTTTTTTAATATACCTGAATAGGTTTCACTGAGTCTCACTGAGTTGGATAACTTTTTAGTCAAAATGATGACGAGATTGTGATCATGGTAAAACTAAGAATTCTTTTGATGATTTGGCATGACATGGATTTGCTGCTTTTAAGTAGAACTTTTAACATTATGCACAATACTGTTTATTTCTTTGACCAAGCATACTCTATGGTTTATACTTTTCTATGGCCTTAGCATACTTTTAGAAAAAGGGGTACTCATTTGTTTACCTTGGCAAACTTTGTGTGTTGGTCATTACATTTTCCTTTATGATTAGGAGGTTAGTAGGTCTCAGTTGCTTGAACTGGACAAGAACAAATATACGAAACGTCATTGTCTGTCTTTTCAAGCTGTCTTGCCACCTTCATGTCCTTTTTCTTGAACATTATCTTTCATAACGCAAGATGACCATATTTTCTCTGGTAGTGGCAGATAAGATCAGTCTGCAAACAAAACTGACTGAATGTACTGTAGCAATAGACTACAAAAAGTTAAAATTCCTCTGGTGACTTGTGTAGGAAATGTAATATTGCCACAAAATGTAGCTAGAAATTCTTGAAGTTTATTGCATGTGCTGTCCATGGTCCTGACCATGTTTATGCTCACTTCACAGTAAACAGTCCCAACAGAGCTCTATTAGCTGTAACTGATATGATATATAAATCAAATTTAATGACATGAAGTAATTTAATTTACTGGTCATTTAGAGGGAATCTTCTCCACACTTTCAGATACTTTTTTTCTTTGAGCGTTTTTTCAAGAGTGCACTACCTTATAATTTATTTACAAATACCCCTCAATTTATGTCGAAAACTTCAAAATAAGAATAACACATGAGTTTGATCTTTCGATTTAAGTTTCACATAGTTCTGATTTTCTGTAGTGATTGTTTTGCTCACAAGGTGTCAGTATAGTGAAAAGAGGCAGCATTAAATGTGTTTTCTATCGTTGCATTTTGATTGAGCCTCTTGATAGCGTCCCGGTTTGGATATTAAAGCAGTCGTTTCTGAGCTTGGGAATACGCTGTTCGTGCTTATGCTTGTTTTAGGAAAAGGGTGATTGTTCTTTACTCATGGACGATTTGTATTGGATCGCTGCAGTGCTGGATTGCCCTTATAAGTGACACTGATGCTTTCGGGTGTAACCATGGAACAAAGAGGACATGAGAAAGGAATGGGGAGACGACGCGATGTCATCTGCATTGTTGTCCTGTTTTTGTGGAGCTTGGCGTCGGCACAATTAAGGTATTCAATCTCAGAGGAAACTAACGAGGGAACGGTTGTTGGAAACATCGCAAAAGATCTAGGATTAGATAAAAGCACACTGAAAACAAGGAAGTACAGGATTGTTTCTAGCGGTGCTGAACCCCTTTTCCACGTAAATCAGAACGATGGTATCCTGTATGTGAGCCGAAAGATCGACAGAGAAGAGGTGTGCGCGAAGAGCAGTACGTGTGTGATAAATGTTAAAACTGTGCTAGAAAATCCACTGGAGGTCCATTACGTAGGAGTAGATGTGCTAGATATAAATGACCATGCTCCAGTTTTTCCAGAGGAAAATAAAATACTGGAGATTTCAGAATCCGTTCTACCCGGAGCACGATTTCAGTTAAAACCTTCACGGGATCTAGACAGTGGTCAGTTTTCTGTGCAGCAGTATAAACTTAACCACAACGACCACTTCCGTTTGGAAGTGAGGGATAAAGGAGATGATGGTAAAATACCTATACTGGTTTTACAAAAAGCACTAGATAGGGAAGCAGCGCACAGTCACTCATTGGTGCTAACGGCACTAGATGGGGGGAAGCCACCAAAATCTGGAGACATGAACATTTTGGTAAATGTTTTGGATGTGAATGATAACACGCCCATTTTCTCAAAAGATCTTTATTCGGTTAAGCTCAATGAAAATGCCCCTGTAGGTACAGAAGTCATACAAGTGAATGCAACTGATCCAGATCACAGTCAGAACGGAGAGGTAGTTTACTCATTTGGCAACAGTGTGAGTAATAATGTGTTTAACCTTTTTGATATTGACCAGTCAACAGGAAAGATAACTGTAAAAGGTCTGCTAGATTATGAGCAAAAGGATAAATATGAGATTGAAATTCAGGCGTCAGATAGAGGTTTGGCTCCGTTAACTACGGAAAAGAGTGTAATTATTAAGATTGTTGATGTAAATGATAACGCACCGGAGATTGAGGTAACATCATTTTCAAGCTCAATCCCAGAAGATTCCAGACCTGGAACTACAGTAGCTATTATAAGTGTAAATGATTTGGACTCTGGAGTGAATGGAAAAGTCATTTGTTCATTAGGTGACGATGTTCCGTTTGCATTGTCACCATCTTTACAGGACAAAATGTATTCATTAGTGACCAAATCTCCTCTGGACAGAGAGAAACAGTCACAATATGAGTTGACAATAACGGCAAAAGACGCAGGTCAGCCTCCGTTATCATCTGAAAAGACAATAAGCGTTACGGTGTCAGATGTGAATGACAACAGTCCAGAGTTTTCACTCAGCCCATATACTTTCTATGTTACTGAGGGGAACAGTCCAGGAGCTTCGGTGTTTGCTGTTAAAGCCTCTGATCGTGATGAGAATGACAATGCGCGCATTTCCTATCATATTATCAGAGATGGAAGTGAAGATAATAAAGTCACTTCATTTCTAAACATAAACTCTGAAAATGGGGAAATTTTAGCGCTGAAAAGTTTTGACTTTGAAACAATGAAAACTTTCCAGTTCCAAGTTGTTGCCTCAGATTCTGGAACTCCGTCATTAAGCAACAACGTCACAGTCAACGTCTTCATTCTGGATCAGAACGACAACGCTCCAGTCATCCTGTATCCACTCAGCTCCAACGGCTCGACTAAAGGCGTGGAGGAGATTCCCCGAAACGTCAACGCAGGACACTTGGTGACTAAAGTCAGAGCCTATGACGCTGATATAGGATATAACGGTTGGTTGCTATTTTCACTGCAAGAAGTGACTGACCATAGTCTCTTTGCTTTGGACCGCTATACAGGACAGATCAGAACACTTCGCTCATTCACAGAGACAGACGAGGCTGAGCATAAACTGCTCATACTGGTCAAAGACAACGGCAACGTTTCTCTCTCAGCAACAGCTACTGTGATTGTCAAACTTGTGGAGCCCAAAGAGGCTTTTGCAGCTTCTGATGTTAAAAGTGCAGCAAAAGATGACGAGGACAGTAATGTGATATTTTACCTCATGATAACTTTGGGCGCAGTTTCTGTGCTTTTTCTCGTCAGCATCATCGTTCTGATTGCAATGCAGTGCTCCAAATCCACAGACTATACTTCTAAATATCTGCCAGAGACTAATTATGATGGGACACTGTGTCACAGCATCCAGTACAGATCAGGAGAGAAGCGGTACATGCTAGTTGGACCCAGAATGAGTATAGGATCTACTATAGTACCTGGAAGCCATGCAAATACTCTAGTGCTACCTGATCGGAGACGCACATCTGAAGAGGTAAGAAAGACTTTATTTAAACAGCTGTTTTGAGAGTAGTTCACATCTGTAGTTATCTGGAAACATCTAACGTTTTTCAGAATGTAATTATACTGTCTCCACTTAGAACCTTCTAATTAGCTAATGAGGAAAAGTGATTTTCAGATTCCTCTAAGCCTGTAAGTCAAAGTAAATAAAGATGCTCCTTTAGAATTACCTGGAAACAGCTGCAGTATTTTGACTTTCTTGCAATACACAACGAATTCGCACGGTGTCAGTGTGCTGGCAAAAGACAGACTGTATCTTGTCGTCATTGCATTAGGGTTCCACATTTTTATTATCTCCTCGGTTCCCTACAGACAGAATAAGTTGAATGGATGCTGCGATCGTTTTACAAATTTTCCGGATTTGTTACGTCTTTTGAAATAAGCATCTCATAGGTATGTGCGTGTTGGACTCTTTTCTTATGACACTGTGACTTACACCGCGAAGAGTTGGTTAATTTTGTTTTAATGATGGGACAAAGAGGATGCGACCGAACGTGGATGAAAGGACGGAGTGTTGTGTGCTTGATCGCTATGCTTCTGTGCGGTGTGGCATCGGCTCAATTAAGATATTCCATTTCTGAGGAAGTTGAAGAAGGAACTGTGGTTGGAAATGTAGCAAAAGATTTGGGATTAGAGAAAAGCACACTAAAAGGCAGGAAATACCGGATTGTAACTAGTGCCATAGATCCTCTTTTTAATGTGGATCAAAACGACGGGATCCTGTACGCGAGGAGAAAAATCGACCGGGAAGAGGTTTGCGAGCGGAGCAGTACTTGTACAATAAATTTGAAAACGGTGCTAGAAAACCCACTGGAAGTTCATTATGTTGCTATAGAAGTGGTGGATTTAAATGACCATTCTCCCACATTCCCTGAAAAAGAGACAACACTGGAGATTTTTGAGTCTGTGCTACCAGGCGTGCGAATTCCGCTGCAACCCGCACGAGATCCAGACAGTGGCCCCTTCTCTCTTCAGCAGTATAAACTTAGCTCTAATGACCACTTTCGTTTGGAAGTTAAAGACTCAGGAGACGACGGTAAAATACCTGTACTGATTGTTCAAAAATCTTTAGACAGAGAGACTGCAGGAAGCCACACGCTCATACTAACGGCCATGGACGGGGGTAAACCTCCGAAATCGGGTACTATGAATATTCTAGTCAGTGTTTTAGATGTAAATGATAATGGCCCCATTTTCTCTAAAGATGTTTACACAGTGATGCTTCATGAAAATGCTCCGGTAGATACAACAGTCATTCAGGTAAACGCAACAGATTTAGATGATGGACCCAACGGGGATGTGGTTTATTCGTTTAGCAATGGCGTGAATCGTAAATTCTTTAAGCTTTTTGATATTAATCAGAAAACAGGTGAGATCATTGTAAAAGGGTTAATAGACTATGAGGAGAGAGACAGATACGAAATTGAAATTCAGGCATCAGACAAAGGCCTGCCTCCAATGGCTACACAAAAAAGCGTGATTATTAAGATAGTTGATGTGAATGATAACGCACCTGATATAGAGGTTACATCATTTTCCAGCTCTATCCCAGAAGATTCCAGACCTGGAACTACAGTAGCGCTTATCAGTGTAAATGATTTGGACTCTGGAGTCAATGGAAAGGTTATTTGTAGTGTAATTGATGATGTCCCTTTTGTTTTATCACCATCTTTACAGGACAAAATGTATTCATTAGTAACCAAGACAACTCTAGACAGAGAGAAACAGTCACAATATATAATAACAGTAGTTGCAAAAGACTGTGGCCAACCATCGCTATCATCTGAAAACACAATAAGTGTTACGGTGTCCGATGTGAATGACAATAGTCCAGAGTTTTCACTCAGCCCATATACTTTCTATATTACTGAAGGGAACAGTCCAGGAGCTTCAGTGTTTTCTGTTAAAGCCTCTGATCGTGATGAGAATGACAATGCGCGCATTTCCTATCATATTATCAGAGATGGAAGTGAGGATAATAAAGTCACTTCATTTCTAAACATAAACTCTGAAAATGGGGAAATTTTAGCGCTGAAAAGTTTTGATTTTGAAACGCTGAAAACTTTTCAGTTCCAAGTTGTTGCCTCAGATTCTGGAACTCCGTCACTAAGTAACAATGTCACAGTCAACGTCTTCATCCTGGATCAGAACGACAATGCTCCAGTCATCCTGTATCCACTCAGCTCCAACGGTTCGGCTCAAGGCGTGGAGGAGATTCCCCGAAACGTCAACGCAGGACACTTGGTGACTAAAGTCAGAGCCTATGACGCTGATATAGGATATAACGGCTGGTTGCTCTTTTCACTGCAGGAAGTTACTGACCACAGTCTCTTTGCTTTGGACCGCTATACAGGACAGATCAGAACACTTCGCTCATTCACAGAGACAGACGAGGCTGAGCATAAACTACTCATACTGGTCAAAGACAACGGCAACGTTTCTCTCTCAGCAACAGCTACTGTGATTGTCAAACTTGTGGAGCCCAAAGAGGCTTTTGCAGCTTCTGATGTTAAAAGTGCAGCAAAAGATGATGAGGACAGTAACGTGATATTTTACCTCATGATAACTTTGGGCGCAGTTTCTGTACTTTTTCTCGTCAGCATCATCGTTCTGATTGCGATGCAGTGCTCCAAATCCACAGACTATACTTCTAAATATTTGCCAGAGACTAATTATGATGGGACACTGTGTCACAGCATCCAGTACAGATCGGGAGAGAAGCGGTACATGCTAGTTGGACCCAGAATGAGTATAGGATCTACCATAGTTCCGGGTAGCCATGCAAATACTCTAGTGCTTCCTGATAGGAGACGCACATCTGAAGAGGTAAGAAAGACTTTATTTAAACAGCTGTTTTGAGAGTAGTTCACAATTCTCAGACATTCCAAAAAAATCCTGACTCAACATATTTAGAGCTTGATTTCCGTTGATATAAATATGTTCAAAGTGCTGCGTTAAACTTTCTCTTTATCACAGCTGAATAGAAATAGAACATAAATTTGTAGTGTGTATTCATCACCCAAACTAGCTGTGTGTGTTAATGAGATCGTTGTTGTATGTGTTTGCTAACAAGTAACGTGGTGATCTGTTAAAATCATAAATTAAACTACAGTTAGTGTGCTGTGGTTTAATGTTAATTTTTATCCCTTTTGCCTTTGAAACTGAAAATATCTAATCAATCAGAAACAGACAACCTTTCGACTGAACATGAAAGATTTAATTTTAAAAATTCAAGAAAAAAATAATTGCTTTTCAGAACTAGAACACCTGAAACATTTCTTTGGTAGTTTTCCCACTTTAGAGGCCCCTGACAAAACTGTAGCAGATTTCAAGGAATTGCGGGGAACTGAATTGTATCACTGAAGTTACTGGGTGTTCTATATTTTCCAAATGAGGAAACCACAGTGATGACCTTTTAGAATGATGGGCGTGCTCAGAGCAAATTATGGCGCAATTTCTGACGTTTAAAAGTCATTATCGATAATGACACCGTGTTTTAATACATATAATGCTGTCTTATTGTCGTTGGATAGTTAAATCTATAACGCGCATGTTTATTTAATTCCCATAACATTTATGTGTGCTGAAAGTGTATCAGACTTTGTCGGTGTGCGTCTGCCTGTGGTCGGTAGTGTTGCTGTCCGTAGTGCTGAAAGTTGTTTCAGTTCTACAAGCCTTTTTATTAGAAATAATACAGAAATAACTCATATAGATTTCCAAAGAAGGAACCTTACAAATCATCGATAATATATCTTATTCTTAGCAGAACGCTGTTTTGTTTCCTGCAGTTGCCAAATAGTTTTGTTGCTTGAATTTAGTTGATTTTATTTCATTTCTTAGGTTCACGGTGCTGCAATAACGTTATATATCGCATGGTGTCGGTGTAATTACAAATGTTTTCGTCTTTTTGTCGTCACCAGCTGTTCCAGCCCTGTATTTTGGCATTTCGTGCAACGAGCTTAAATAAGAAATCAGCTGCTTGTCGTTCTCGGTGGTGTGCACAGATAGGTTTAATTTATGGAGAGCAGGTTAAAAAGGAACCCTGCTGCACTTTATTTGTAAACGACACAATAATTGATCCTGAAGTCGTAATTTTATTCTGCACATAATGGAACAAAGAGGACGGCGGACGTGGATCGAGCGATGGAGATGCATAGTCTATGCGGTGGCATTGGTGATGTTTGGGAGCGAAGCCTCGGCTCAGATCAGATATTCCATCTCTGAAGAGGTTAAAGAAGGAAGTGTTGTTGGAAACATTGCGAAAGACGCGGGGATTGATAAGGTTACGCTGAAGGAAAGAAAGTACCGCATTGTTGGCAGTTCAAAGGAACCCCTTTTTCATTTGAATCAAGACGACGGTGTTCTGTATGTGAGCAGGAAAGTGGACAGGGAAGAGATTTGCGAACGAAGACTCGATTGTGTAATAAACCTTAAAACAGTGCTAGAAAATCCTCTGGAAATCCATTATGTGACCGTAGAGGTGGTGGATGTAAACGACCACTCCCCCATCTTTCCAGAGAAAGAGAAACGACTTGAAATATTTGAATCGACGATACCGGGTGCAAGATTTCAGCTCCAACCTGCACGAGACCCAGACGGTAGCCAGTTCTCTGTTCACCAGTATAAACTGAGTCACAGTGATCACTTTCGTTTGGAGTTAAAAGATAGAGATGATGGTAAAATGCCATTTCTAGTTTTACAGAAGCAGTTAGATAGAGAGGCTGCGAGAGAGCACAAGCTTCTCCTTACCGCTATTGATGGGGGGAGACCGCCAAAGTCGGGAACAACGCAAATACTGATTGAGGTACTTGATGTTAACGACAATGCACCTGTTTTTACACAAGATGTATACTCTGCTATGCTGAATGAAAACGCATCCCCCGGCACGTTAGTCATACGGGTGAATGCCACAGATTTAGATGAAGGAGCAAACGGTAAAATTGTTTACTCTTTTGGTAAGGAAGTAGAAATCAAACTGCAAAAACTGTTTTATATAGACTCGAGCACGGGGGAAATTAAAGTCACTGGTGAAATTGATTACGAAGAAAATGAACGCTATGAAATTGATATAAGAGCGTCTGATGAGGGGACAATCCCTTTATCAACAGACAAAAGTGTGATAATAAAGGTAATCGACCTGAACGATAACCCACCCGAGATTGAAGTCACGTCATTTTCTAAGTCAGTTCCCGAAGACTGTAGGATTGGAACAACAGTAGCTTTGATCAGCGTGAATGATTTAGATTCAGGTCCCAGTGGGAAAGTCTCCTGTTTCATACCTGAGGATGTTCCATTTGCTATATCGCCATCCCTCCAAGATAATATGTACGCCATAGTGACCAAGTCACTGCTGGACAGAGAAGAAAGGTATTTTTATGAACTTACAGTTGTTGCAAAGGATGCTGGTGTTCCATCACTCTTAAGTGAAAAGACAATAACTGTGGGGATATCAGACGTGAACGACAACAGGCCTCAGTTTTCAGTCAGTCCTTACATATTTTACATCACTGAAAATAACGATTTAGGTGCACAATTATTTTCAGTAAAGGCGTCCGATTGTGATGATAGTGATAATGCGCGTATTTCATATCACGTTTATCGGGATAACAGCGAAGGCAGTATGGCATTGTTTTTAAATATTAATTCGGAAAGTGGAGATGTTACGGCGCTGAAAAGTTTTGACTTTGAAACGCTGAAAACTTTCCAGTTCCAAATTGTTGCCTCAGATTCTGGAACTCCGTCACTAAGCAACAATGTCACAGTCAACGTCTTCATCCTGGATCAGAACGA